GGCACCTTCTTGCTTACTATCTTGATTATGAAAGTCACCTTTTGTTGTTGTCATACACCTTTCAAACACTCTAAGTGTAGCACCTCCCCCTTAGGAATTGCAATAGATTTATGTCCCCTATAGTCCTGCATGGCCAGGCAACATGCATTTTCTACAGACTTGCATCCTTGAGCTTGTTTTTGATGTTTTATTTTAACTTGGATGGGGTAAGGGGTATATAGGATGCCCAATGGAATTGATGAACTGAGGACAACTTCCTGGAACAAACCTACTGCAACACAATTTCTCTTGGAGAGCTAGCCAGCATCTCCTGGAGAATCTGGTTTCCCACCAGAGTACTTGTTCCCCTATCTGACCTAGGGGGTGCAGGGTTATGTTCAGTCCTTCTTCTGTGCTGCTGGTGGGTCAGTGGCTGCTACCAGGCCTTCTAGCTGGGCTGCTCCTTCCCTGCTGCACAGGTGATCCTCACTGTGAGGGTCTAGGTTTTGTCCTTCCCAGCTCCACTGCTTGTAGGTGAGCCCCTCCCTCTATCTGGAACCCCTACCAGGCTTCTGCCTTCAGCCTCACATACTATCTTTCATCCATCTGAACTCTCCTGCAGTTGAGCAGGCTCACTCACTTTTAAGAGTTGTCCTAGATTCTTGCCAACCCTCCTGTTGGGGATTGGCCAGGCTCCCTCAAAAGTGCACATCAGTCACTCCTCAGATCAACCCACTGCTTCTAGACCTTTCTCCAAAGTTCTAGAGCAGGGTGAAATCCCAGAGGGCTGGTCTGCAGAGCCCCTCAGATCTGACCACAAATCAACCCCCGCTAGCTATCACACCTCAGCCCTTCCAGCTAACAATCCAGGTCTAGCTCGCCATGGCTGAATAGGAGGTTGCTACATAAGGAATGCAGCAAATCTATGAGCCATATTTTAGGACTACAGAACAACTCTCTTCCTTCTCCATAACGTAAGACTGAGGTGTTTTGAAGTTCACAGATGGAGGTGAGACGCATAGAGTACAGGAAGTTATCTCACAGGATTTCTAGCAAACCAACGGGTATTTTTTTGTGTTTTTCAAATAGATATAATGAAACATTTTTGATTGTTTATTTCAAAGACTAAAAGGGAAAAAGTAAGAGGAGTTTGTTAGCGATGCATACACTGTATTTAAATCATTATCATATAGGCCAGTGGTCTCCAAACTGCAGCCTTTCGCTTGCTTTTATCTGGCACTTGGGGCACCATTTCATCCAACCATGGGGCATAGTGCCCCCCCCCCTCAGAAATCAATGAAGAGGCACAATTCCTCCCAATGACACCAACAATGGGGCCCAATTGCATCAATGAAGAAGCACAATTCCTCCAAATGACACCAATGGTGGGGCACAATTCCTCCCACTGAAATCAACAATGGGGCGCTATGCCTCTCAATAACACCAAATTTGGGGTATTGTTTATTCCCACTGATGTTGGGACCTTTTCTACTCCCAATGGCCACAGTCTGGCCCCCTAAGGTCTGAAGGACAGTAAACTGGCCCTTTTGTTTATAAAGTTGGGAGACCCCTGATCTAGGCACTGACAAATAGGCAGGACTTTTTGGCATTGCAAACCTTTAGAGGACATCCTTGGGCCTGTTAGTCCCCCCTGTTTCTGATAGTATACACCCTAAGAGCTCATGTGACAGGCATCGTTTTCCTGCATTTGATGTGCATATAATGCACATGCTGTTAGAAGTTGTGTATATAGCCCTACAAAAGACAATGCACAGTCCACATGCGCTTTTCCTGCTTCACTGCAACAAGGAAACCAGAAACTTTAGAGAAAAGAGTATACCATAGATACAGCTATAAACATATAGACACTGCCATCTGCTGGTTGGAATATATCTCTAGTGAATACTGATGTAGTTTTTGCACAAAATACATGAATACTGTATTTCATTACATGTCAAATTCAAATCTGCAGATTTTCATATGCTTTATCAATGTAGTGTGGATGACAAAAGCCACATCTGTGAGTTACATCTTATTTTTTTAACAACTGTGAATTAATGCTCAATTAGACCTTGATAAATGAGTCTTTATACATTTTGGGTGTCTCTTTGAAACTTTCATTACTATAAAGTATGTATGGACCAATAGCTGCTTTTTAGCCTTTTCTAAATAGTTTTGTGTCTGTGGTACCTCTTCATAGTAAGATTATGGTGAAAGGTAAAGAATGACCTTATCTAGGATACAAGAACATATTGAAGTATATTGTTCTGTTGTCTGTATCTTCAGTTGATGATAGTGATTTTGAATCTGTCCATCTTGTATGTTTTTCTAGATATCCTGTCATCTTGTCAATTGAAAACCACTGCAGTGTGGTGCAACAAAAGAAAATGGCTCAGTATTTGACTGAAATCCTAGGAGACAAGTTAGATCTGTCTTCTGTGATGAATGGAGATCTGACAAAGCTTCCTTCTCCAGATAACCTGAAAGGAAAAATATTAGTGAAGGTAATCTATATGGATGATGTAAAAGAGAACATATCCTGTCCCTGTACCCAAAGTGTTTTAATGTTCTGTTTTAGTCCAAACACTGTCTTGTACTGTGCATTTATCAAGTTTTTCAAATAACACAGATGTCCCACAATAAAACATTTCACCACACTGAGCACCTTTCTGGGGGTATATAAAGCATTCTTCAGCTCTAGGATGAGATGTTAAAGTGTTACTAAACCGAGGATCCTGCATTCACTATATCTGGTCTCCCATAGTACACAGAACATGGAAATGCAATTATTCTAGTAAATATAAACTGCTAAATACCTTTTCTCATCAGCAGTTAGAGCAGTATTGACTTCTATCATTGTCCAGCAGAGCACATGTTAAAGCTTGTAGGAGTTTTCTTTCTGCTTGGGAGGATGCAGGACTCCTTACCTCTGTCTGGACAGTGCTGATTGGCCTTGTGCTAATCACATACACTCTTCCAAGAACAAAAAAAACTCTAGCAATACACACTAAACTGAGCACGTGCAGAATGGCTACAGGTTCAGTCTGTCTTATCAGAATGAATTGCACTCCTGTGATCCACAGGAGAAGTACAGCCAAAAGAGCTTTACAAAAGCATTGCTTTTATCAAACATTTCACAGTTTTGAAGTTCCTTTATTTACTAGCTGGATTTGTTTTTCTATCTGGGAACAGTATTTATTTTCACTCCTCTGGTATCAATGCACTCCCTATGGTGCATTCCCTATGCACTGCCATTATATGTTGTGCTAAATTCTTGTCCAAAATAAATATGACTCTTATCTTTTCTCTTTCCATGGTATTTGAACATTCAGAATACATTTGCTTTTTGTGTAGTTGAGTCCTCCGCAGTGACCTACTTCATTGTAAGCACCATCATGTGACCATGTCCCAGTCAATATCACTGACATCTGAAAGATCAATAGAACTTGTGTAATGGCCATGGTAGAGTCAAATTCCAGATCTGGTGTTTTTCCCACACTTTGAAACATTATTAATGGGATATGGCTGTTATTTCTCTATGCAGGATTTAGAACTAATGAGCTTCCCAGCTGCTTAAGAGGCCTTCCACCATTTTCACTAAATAACTTGGAGTTTTATTATTTCGATATATCTGAAATATAACAAGCAGGTTATACAGTGCTTTGCAGAGTCCAAACACTTGAATGGTGACATCTATCAGATAAGAGCCTTATGTCACATGGTTGTGTGTGTCCAATCCATACAGCCACAAAGTACAACATGGCTGGTAGGCAAAGGTAATCAGCAAACGTAAAGCTGGTCTGGAATGAGCTTCAGCTTCCATTCCATTGCTGGCCTCCTACTAAACATCTCCCTGGTTTCCATGCCTAGGCAAATGATGTCACACATCCCAGGAGTCTTCAGGAGAGGAGGAGAGATTTTCTAAGCTAAGCACACCCTCCTGTTTGCATGTCTGAACTAAAGGCAAATGGATTCCAAGTAAATAGTACATGAATCATTTGCCCTTACTCAAGATGGCCATGGCCAGAAATGCTAGGGGGTGTTTTTCAAAGGAATATCTCAGCAAAATAAAGCACGAAGACATGGAGGAATGAGGGAGTTGCTTTGAATATTATAAATTAATATTATAGCATTTTTGGTTAGTGGTGCTCAGCTGCAGTGTAGCTCTTCTTTAAATCACCTCCCACCCGGCCTATTATAAAATGACATCCAAATGGGAGCACTGCTATCCTGGGTGGATGTCATATGACAGGTGTGCGTCTTGTGCGTCTTGTCTAGGGGCTGCGCAGCCCGCTGGAACCCGCTGTATCCACCGCTAGCATCTTCATAAGGGAAGTTGGCAATGACCACCTATACATTTTCTCAGCACATTATTTAACGAAATGGGACCTGCTTTGATGATGATCAAAAGGATTTTGAGGACTGTCATTTGGTGTTTTTCTTCCTTTTCCTGCCGCTGTTTGTCAGTTTCTAGAATTGGTATTGGAGGTCATCCAGGATCAGTGTAGACTGAATACGATACTTTTCTAATTAGTGGTGTTTCCCAAAAGCCTTAGACTCAACCTATGTCGTTAGCCGACACATATTTGTTCCTGCATGAAACCTTGCGAAGGAAGTATTATTCCCTTGGTAGAAAAAGAGTGTGTGTAGACATATTCAAGAAAACAAGTTTACTTATCACTTTACCCTGGAGAGCCATTATTTGTGTAACAACTGTTTAGAGGATTTGAAAAATATAGATGTCTACCTATTGCTGGCCCTATTGCTTTGGTAATTGCTTTGTTTGTTGCCCTCTAAAGTGGACCTGTAACTGCCTATTAAACAGGCTGTGATGGAGGATGGTGGGGAGGAGTAGACACGGCTTACGTTTTATCATATTGTAAAGGTTTTGTGGGTCAAGGTACATTTTAACTTATAAATAAAGCACTGAGATATGCTAAGGTTTGGGCTAGATACAGAAAATAACTATTTAAAACACAGTTTGTTGGAGAGGAGAGTAAAACGACCGTCGGGAGGTTTTCTGCAGAGGCACCCATAGTAGTGAACAGGGGCGGACTGACCATTTGGAAACTCGGGCACTGCCCGAGGGCCCGGGGTCAGTAGGGGGCCCCATGAGATGCCCCTGGTACCTTTTTCATAGGCTTTTTTGAGTTTTGGGCAAGGACACAGGGGCCCCATGATCCCCTATTGTCCGGGGGCCCCATGAGTTGTCAGTCCGCCCCTGGTAGTGAATAAGGTCATGAGGCTTTATCGCCTTGATTTAAATGAGTTTTATTAAAAAGTAAACACTATACAATGCATTTCATGTTTGTGCACAGTCTCTTCTGCAGGCACATTGAACCATGCTGGATTCTGGTGTGTCCCTGCGCCTTTAGGTATACTTGCACACTGTACTGATATATGAACATCAGACATTCCTGGCAGAATAAAACGCAAGGATGGGCGATATAGCGTATATTTGCAAATACACGTGTGAAAATTCTTCTAGCTTCTTATTTTAATCAAGGGAGTGTGGCGTATCAGTGTAAAAATTCTGACTGTCAAATGCCCTCTGAAAAACTATCCATCCTGGATTGCTTTTCAGGGGGCGGTAGTATAGCCGCACGTATGATCGAGCCCTAAGGGTTGCAAACATTTCTAGCATTTAATCTTATAGCTCATCTGCAAATAACATAAGAACTTGAGTTTGTGTTAATAGCATCATCCTGTATTACCATGTACAGAGGAAAGGCCAGTGCTAGTAGCCAATCAGGTGCTGCTGCATTCACATATGCTGACAGTGATCATGCTGACTGGGGGGAAACAAGAGAATGAGCAGAGAGAAGGTCTTATCGGTGTGCTGCTGCTCCTTCATTATTCAATCAGCAGGCTGTGGATGTTTTCTGATCTAGCTAAGTTACTACATTAAGCCAGGGTTCACATATATGCGGTTCGGCATATCACATTTGATTCACACAGGAACCGCACCACATTCCTGTGCAAATCACATGCGATTTGTGTGCGGTGCGATTGGAGCCATACATTTTGTATGGCTCTAATCGCACCACACCAAGAAGGTGCAGGATACTTTTTTGGGTTCGCACTAGAATCTGATCATGTGGGTATTCAATTCTGCACATCGCACTGCGTTTTGCGGACTGCTTACAGGGTGTTGTTAACTTAATATACACACCTACAGCGGTGTGCATGAGCGGGGTGCGATTCTGATGTGGTGCGGAATTCGCACAGAAAACGCTGCAAATTCTGCAACGTATCAGTGTGAACCAGGGCTTAAGGTGGAGGCTCTAGCTATGCAGTCTGGCAGAGGTGCTGGAGTCATGAAACTGGCTGTATGGAATTATATATCCTTTGGCAGACCACTTAGTTTACATGCATGTATGTCATAGCAACTTGCCTGGAGTTCGCGTCTGAGGATGGCACACAGCATACGACATCATTTCTGAAAGTTGACGTTTTTGTCTCTACCAGGGGAAGAAGCTGCCTGCCAGTATTAGTGATGATGCAGAAGAAGGGGATGTTTCTGATGAAGACAGCGCTGACGAGATCGATGAAGATTGTAAACTCATAAATGGCGATGTATGTAAGCTAGAACTGTATATCTCAGAAAGTGCTTTCTGTCATATGATAAGCACATGTAAAAACATTATTGTGTCTAAATGACAGGGGGAAAGGAATTTGTAATTCAGTTTCAGGAATCATGTCACTCTTGCCCTAAAGTGGTACAGAGCCTGAATCAAAACCCTCCTAAAACTCTCACTGATGTCTTCTGTCATATCTACCGGCATCTGTATACATTCTGTATTTATTTGGAGGATATAGTGCAAACTACGTTCACGGTTAAACCGTTAATTTTACGGAATGGTATTCGTTCTAACAGTTATGTAGGCAAATAATTTTTTTCCAGTTAACTCCAAGGAAATATATAAATCTGTGTTTGCTTCACTTGAACATTCTTTCCAAAACTCTAAATTCATTCTTGATTATTTATCAATTATCTATAATCTGCCTATATAGTGGATTGTCCATAGCTTGCAAAGATTGCTATGCGTCTTCCTATGGGGGTGCCTGTTCTCTAAGCTGATAGGAGAAGGAAAGCTAAAATTACATGAAGATGATGATGGGCAGGAGGTGGGGTTGTCGCAAAAACCATAGGATCTAAAAATGGTAGCTTTCTATGCTGTGTGGCAGTATACAGATACAGATGGTGCGTTCTGTAGGTCAGTATAATATTTTGAATATACACTGAAAACAGCTGAGCAAACTAGTCATGGTAATAGTAAAGAATACTCAATTTATTATATAAACTACTGTGTTCATAAAGCTTTTCATCATTCTCCACTGGGATATCAAACTTTAACTAGAAAAGCTATAATTTCTGGGGAAATTGTGTGAAGTGTTCTTACCTCCACCAGTAGTCTACAACTCACACTCTAGCTTTTGTCACTCTGCTGCCTGCTCACACACCTGCATTTCTATGGCAACTCACTCTACAGCAAGGGCAGAGAAGAGCGGTTAAAAACAAACTGCTCCAACTTGCTCACTTCACTGGCGGTTGCCATCTTCAAACGGTTGTAGTTTAAAAATTATAAATCCTACACCAAAGAACTTTATATTGTGAGAATCACAAGACCCAGACCTACATTTTGATGTATAGTATGTCTCTGAAATATTAAAAATTAAGGCACAGTCGCAGTTTAGAAATTGCCCTTCACATTTGAGGTGGCTAGAGTGGAGTTTCAATGAATGTCAATGGGCGAGTTGCAAACAAATGGTCATATTGTGAAAACTATTAGGACTATGGCTTAGCCGTGGACATTTTTAGTGGCAGCAGGGATAGCTGAACGTTTTGATATAGGAGTTGTGTAGGTGGGCTTGAAAATGAGGGAGTGATGGCAGTTTAGAAATCATGTCCTGATTTTTCAGCTCACACTCTAGCTTTTGTCAGCTCCCACTCTAGTTTTGAACATTCCGCCATTCATTCCTATGGGACCAATTTCACCACAACAACGCCGATATTTCGTGAACCATTCGGCGAAACGTTCCACAAAGTAATAGCACACCAATCGGGAACAATCTGCACGTTTCGGTATATTACTGTCTATGTAGTGTAAATACTGTGGGAGGAGTTAGGGTGGTAAATTTGGCTATAATAATAAGAATATATGTGTGAGATAACAGTAAGTGGTCTTGCCATGCAAGAACACTTAATCACAGAAATGTCAGTGGCAGCCTCAACCCATCATTCTCCCATTGCTGAAATGGTTAGCGTCACTTATTGGTGCGTTTTCAAGCAGCGAGCCTTCTTTAAAGCACAACCACTTTTTATACAGGCAGGCTCCCATATAACAGCTATGTGCAGTTTACAATAAATGGCTATTTAAAGTGATTGTAAAAGTAAAAGTTTTTTTTTACCTTTTAATGCATTCTCTGCATTAAGGTAAAAACCTTTTATATGCAGCACCTCCTGCAGAACCCCCTAAATACTCACCTGAGCCGATCTCGATCCAGCGCTGTGCTGGTCTGCAGCAGCTCCTCTCCCCTCCCCCTCCTCTCTCACAGGCTTAGTTGGGAGCAGCGGGAGTCATTGACACCTGCTGCTGTCGGTCAATACCTGGGAGCAGGGCAGGCCCGAGCTGAACTGTGTGTCTGAATAAATGCAAACAGTCCTGCTCATAATTAAGCCCCTGCAAGTGCCCCCATAGGAATCTGTTTCCTATGGTGGTCACTCAGCAGCAGGGGGGAGCCAGAAGCGCCAGCAGGAGACCTCGGAAAAAGGAGGATCTAACCTGCTCTGTGCAAAACCATTGCACAAAGAAGGTAAGTATAACACGTTTGTTATTTTAATGAAAAAACAATGCCAAACTTTACAATCACTTTGAAATTAGGCTGAGCCAGTACCATAAACCAGCTATTCTGGATTTACATTTGACCACAGGGGCATAAAGGAATGATTGGCCTGACTCTGCCCACTATACAAAAATGAGGAATAAAATCCCTTTGTTTTTTAGATCTGTGAAGGAAGTGAAACTAGTAAATACCTTTTTGTTTTAAGAAGACTCTACTGCATTTCTTATTAATTGGGGAGAGGGGGGTGCTTTTTGTTCCTTTAAAGTGGTTCTAAAGGCTCACGTTTTTCATTATAATGCATGTTATGCATTGCAGTGATGCTAAAGGTATTTTTTTTTAAATAACAAACATGTTCTAGTTACCTGCTCTTGTTTTGCACAGAGCAGCCCCAATCCTCGTCTTCTTGGGTATCTTTCCAGTGCTACTGGCTACTCCTCTTCTGCATGTGCCACCATAGGAAGCTGCTTTTTATGGTGGCACATGTCTGGGTTTGATCTTGAACTGTGCAGTCTGTCTTTATAGTCTGCGCTCCCTTGTCACAGGATTTGATTGACAGCAGCAGGAAGGTTATTCTTGCTGCCTATGTCCCTTTGGGAAGGCTTTCTCTTTCCTGTCCTGAAAATGAACCAGAAAATAAGAGGAAATGTCTTGAAAGTGAACAGAAATCCCATAATTGTCAGAGGAAAAGGTATCCCTGTTGGAAGATTTCCTCTCACTTCTTTTTCCAGCAGCAACTCAAAACATTTTGATACCCCTCACCTTCTATTTCTGGTACAATGATCACCAGAACAAATAGAGAAGACAAATCTCCCCAGTAAGGACACAGAGAGCAATAAATGCTTGACAAAGCATTGAACCCTGTGGCCCTAATAAAACCAACATTGTTACCCCACTACCCTTGTGTGTATTTGTGAATTTAGGTGTTCACGTGGTTTTCAGCCTAAATAAAATATTTAAAAGGAAAACAATGATTGTCCATGACAACAAACAAGACTTTTAATGTAACATTTCATAAATAGGACATTAATGACATTTCAGATTAATACTGTGTTGCAGAGGTGACAAAATGTGCTCAGCTAAGCTAATTAATTTCCTGACTGATGCTCATTTAATGATTATTTAACCTAATGAACAAAATGACCAAACCTGTCACCTGGAAAGTCTACTTAAAAAAAATCAATAGACTGCATCGATCGGTACCTCAATGGCATCTCATGCTATTATTGCAACTGTATCATTGAGGTTGAATTTTGTCCACCAATTTGAATGCCAATTATATACATGTAGTGATGACCCTCTAAAGACTTGATGATTTTAGTGGACCCTCCTAGCATTTCTATTGGTGATCTGGCTGCCCCAAGCACTGATTGACCCAAGAGTAGTGACCAA